ATATAACAGAAACATGTGAGAAGGAAGAGAGAAAAAAAGGGGACCAAATAATAGAATTCTTCTCCATCCCTACTCCCCCAACCTAGAGGGAGAAAAGGTGAGGAAATTCTAGTGGCTTCCATTTCTTTTGTGAGATAAAAGGGAGGATTGTTGAAGGATAAAAGATAAGGGATTAAATGAATATACAGACATTGAAGAGCCACATTTAAAAAGAATCATTTCAGGGAATACAGAAGAGATATGAATAGATCCACAGAGAAAGTTCTTGAAAGGACTCAGGAAGTCCATTTCAAAGGCGGTGTAGACTAAATCCTGGAAGTGCTACCAATCTCAGACTTCTAGAATTTTTCCTGACAGCCTCTGTTGTGCTGATGCAGGAATAGAAAAGGTGATGGCCAGACCAAAAAACCAAAATGAATGACCTGAGAAAGAATTAAATGCAGAGAATGGAGGAATCTGACAGGAATGATGAAATAAAACTGCTGATAAGGGAGTTTAGTCATAGTGGAATTTCGATTTTAAAGATAGAGAAATTCCAGACCTTTATAAAATCCAGGTGTGGTCAGCTATGGATGGCTAGAATATAAAAAGGATAATTATCACAGAAGTTGAGGAAAGAAAAAAAGTGAGTATAGGGTTGTGGATAGGACCACTAATTAAGTCAATCACATCACCCCAAAAATTGGCAGAAGCAGTCAGGAATGTAGGTGAGAAATGGCAGGGAATGGAGTTTGATTAACTTGGCAGGCATCAGCAACACCGAAGGTCCCTGGTACTCACCAGAGTCAAGGGCTCAGGGCTATCCTGCCACAGATCCTCCTCCCAAACTACTTGGGAGGCTCAACTGTGAGGACTTGTCTGTCTCATGACAAAATTTTTCTACCACGAATGCCAGCTAAACCAAAACACAAAAGCAAGCCTGTTGACCACAACTTAGGAGTCACAGAGCAAAACTTCCCCTTAGTGCTTTCCTAGCTGTAACCTTGATAAAAGCAGACCACCTTGTCTTTATTATATACAGCTGTTGGGTGGGTGTAGAAGCAGGAGTGGCATCCACATCCACAAAAAGCTTGCCTCCTGAAACCCTATGAACCTGGAGGAAGGATGAAAGTCACACCTAGGGTCAAGAACTTTCATTCATAGGGTCACTAAGAGTCGCCTAAGACTTGAGGGCACTTAACAACATAGAGACCAGCTGGCCTAGTGGACCGAAAGTGATGCTACCAAGCCAACGGTGGGTGACTCTAATCTGCGGCCCTAAGGCCTGTCTTTAATTGTTTTTGGTGAAACATTCTTCTAGGTCGTATAGCCCTGGTGTGTCCACTTGCCATACAGAGGTAACTTGTGGTCTCTGTGAAGCTGAACACTGTGACACTGACAGGTTAAATGCGATAATGGTTATCCATGGTGGACAGTGTTTGGTGGTGCTCCCCAGTTAAAACAAGCTTGGAAGCAGGAGTGGCATAAATAGCTTGCCTCCAAAAATCCTATGAGCCTGGAGAAAGGATAAAAGTCACACAACTGTCAAGGACTTTCGTTAATAGGGTTGCTATGAGTCGCCTTTGACTCAAGGGCACTTAACAACAACAACACTGGTTGGGTGTGGACCATCAACCTGTCAGTTAGGAGTCTAGTGAAAACCATGGGACATATTCAAGGTCATACTTTGGCTCTCATGGTCTTGCTGAAATTTTGTTCAAGTCAATTTAAGCTCTTGCACATGAGCAATTGACGGTTTGCCCCGCTGTTGTATCCTAACTCATAATACAGTGCTTCTCTATCATCTCTTGCTAGAAATGTTGTTGTTGTTATATGCCATCGAGTCGCTTGCGACTCATAGCGACCCTATGTACAACAGCCCTAAACTCTGCTCTGTCCAGTGCCAATCTCATTGTCTCCAACACACTCATCCCGATTACCACAGTCACCAAATCAATCCATCTCCTAGAAGGCCTTCCCCTCCTGCGCCTGCCCTCCACCCTGCCAAGCATGATGTCCTTCTCCAAGGATCGGTCTCTCCTTACAACATGACCAAAGTATGTTAGACGACGTCTCAGAATCCTTGCCTCCAAGGAGCAGCCCGGTTTAACCCTCTCCAAGATGAAT